GATTTTTATCATTATAGGGTGGTTGTGTACACACACTGCCAACACACATTTCAGTTCAAACAACTTGTAAAAGTGCTTGTAGCATCCTATGACCCCTTTAAACTGTGCTCATACGGCAAGATACTAAAGTCTGCAATCAAGAGTCAGAAATCTCAGTAATAAAAACATTTGTCATCAAATTATTTCAAGACCAACCGATGTCAACAGGTCATCAGTCACTAGCTCCAGGTTCCTTGCTGTCCCGCGCTATACTGTCCATACTGCTTTAATAACTCTGTACTTACAGTATGTATATTTGTCTGTTTTATATTTATCCTAGAAAGAGAAACATCTCAGACACAGTTAATAGTTTAATGAAACATAAGTCTACACTGAGCCTCCTTTTATTAAAGCGTCTGAGCAATAGCATTTTCTTCAGTGATAGTCTTCTCACAGTCAAGCTCTTGTCTTGTGCCAGCTGATGCTACAATGGCAGAATTCCATTAAAAACAGTGCAGAGATGTATTTATGAACTGCATTGTTGATGACTTTTAAACAGATTCTCAAAAAGGGGGAACGGAAGTGAAATTCAGAGTAAAGTCATTCAGATATGCTCTGAACACTATATTTGATCTTATGTCTTGATGAGGCATTTTTGTGTGCTTTTTAGTGTTTCCTGCATACATGCGTAATGACACAGCACTCAAGATCATTTGTAACAGAGAAATGGCCAAATCATCAGTTTATGCAATGTTAGCATTATCTCTTTATTTGACTTTGTATATTGGTGAGTCTTTAATGAAAACAATACTTACCGATGGAAATGCAATACAATCTGGCCTGCAGACTCATTTTTAGCCTGCAAAGCAATTGTTAATGCTCTGCAGGAACAAACATTAATTCAGCCTGCATGTGAAAGAGTCTCATTAGCCTTTTCTCCTTTGGCTTCTGGCAACCTCTACATTTGTTTTTGTTTTTCTTCTTCTCTCTCTCTCTCTTTCATGAAGTTTCCAGTCATGGTATTTTAGGGTGATACTGTTAGCTTCAGTCTCTGAACAGCTGGCGGTCACATTACTGTCCACTGTAGATGGATTCTGATGGTGCAGTCGGTAATGTCCTCATGTAGTAACGCTGGTACAGTAAACACTCTGTTTCATTCGGTTGTTATTCTGTGTTCTCAAATATTTTAATGCATTACTTTTAAAAGTAACTTTCCCCAACACTGTTCACTGGGCTGGTAAACTAGTTCAGCAATCCTGCTTGAAGCTGCGTGTCATATCGAGACAAGAAGGGTTTCCCAAAAGCATTGTGAGTCTAAGCTGATCATAGAGACCATTAGATGAGTAGATGTGGCATTTCAATTCAGCTGTACAGTGATGTTGTGTTCGAATAACGGGTTGACAGATAGACCTGTGCTGCTGTATAAAGAGATGTCATCTGTGTACCAGTGACAGGAGAGGTTGTCTACCTTTATGATTGTGCCCAGTGAGGTTGTGTAGAGAAGAGGAGGGGACCTAACACTGAACCTTGAGGCATCCCAGTGACTCAGACACCCTTCCTCGCCAGGAAAAGGATCCTCCCAAAACCACTGAAGAGTTTCACTTACAGACAGTGGGTTTGTCTCTGTGGAAGGTCTGTGTTTGAAATATGCTTAGATATAAACACACTAACACAGTTGAATCTCTCTAAAGTTGCTTTGATAAAATGTGTATTATGAAGCGCTATACAAATAAAATTGGCTTGAAAGACAATTCATATTAGTAATATTATCGATTTGACTGCACTGATATGAGAAACTTGAACTGAACTGAATTGAAACTTGAAAACTTGGACTGAGCTGAGCTGAATGAAGACACTCTTTAGAGCTGCTTATAGCTGAACTGAACTTGTTTCATAATTGATTAACTTTGCACTGTTACTGAACTGAATTTACACTGAACTGATTAATGACACTATTGTCTAATATAGAGCTGCTTTATAATTGCTTTATCACTGATGAACCACTTTACAACATTGACACTGTTATTGAACTGTTATTATTAACCTGAGCTGAATATTGACACTATTGTCTTTCATAGAGCTGATTTATAGCTGAAATTGAATCCTCTTCATAATGTATTAATTGTGCAACGTTAACACTGTTATTTTCCTGTTTTAATACTGCAAAGCTGCTCTGAAACAATCTGTATTGTACAAGCTGCTATATAAATAAATGTTACTTGTACCGTCAGTATTCACAATTAAAACTTAAAATAGCCAGCAACAATTATTTTCGTTTGGAAAGAAACCAAGAAAATCCCCCTGGTAATTCATGTATGTTCATCACATAAACATGATCATTCCAACATGCCTTAAAATCAGCATCAGATACACGGCGCACTCCTTCAACAGGAAATGCTTAAAGGAAGACAGTTGGCTTCCAGGAAGTGTGTTTAGCAGGGATTTTCTGGCTTCCTGTTCTGTAAGTGTACACAAACCTCTTATACTGTGGCAGTGCAGGTACAGCTCCACTAAGTATTAAATATATAATTTTAACAACATACACTACACATTTAAAAATAAAATAAAATCTTGCTTACCATACTTTTGAATTGTATCACAGTTTCCACAAAAATATTAAGCAGCAATAACTCTTTTCAGCATTGAATCATATGTTTCTTGAGCAGTAAATCAGCATATTAGAATG